AGCTGCTTCTGGGGACAGATTTTTCTGAAGGTATCTTGATTTCAGTAGGTTAAATCCTTAGCTCCATGTATCCCCTCAGCTCCTGCTGGAAGTATACTGGAGATGATCCCTGGAAGGCTTTGCAAGCACCAGACTTGTGGAAGTCTGTTCCTAATCTTCAGTTTTAGAACAGTTGGGTACTGGCTCTCTCTGTTTCATGGCTTTGCTGGAAAATAACTGAAAATGGCCAGAAAGACATAAAGGACCTAGGAGATGAATTTGCAGTGCAGTGAGTAATGTGAGCAGGCAGCTGCCTGGCCAAGCTTCCCCTGCTGACCTGTTCTGGCTGCATGCAGGCATTTTCCTGCTCTGCTCTGGTGCTCATCTCTCCAACATTACACAACCTCTCTCCAGAGAGAAGGTCTTGAGGCTCTTAGCCTTGGTAAAAGCAGCTGGGGTCATTGATCTGGCTTTCCTAAGCTAGTTTGTGTGGTCATGCTGTGGCCAGGATGCTGGGGTTTTGCACAAATTATTTTTCCACTTCTCTGGCTTAAACTGCAGAGCATTAGTCCAAAAGCAGATTATTTTTTGATTTCTTTTTTCAAGAAGTTGCTGCTAGACCAAGGGCTGGAGAAGAAAGGAGGTAATAATGTTATAATGAGATCACGGTTCATTGCTCTGCTCTAACACTGCTGGGACATGGGTGGGACTTAAGCAGGGGTTGGGTCTTCCACAGAGGTGGGATTTTCATTTCTCTTCCACCCCTGCCTCCCCTCCAGAGCTGAACCTGAAGAAGTCACATCCCCAGGGCACGGCAGGTTTTTGTTTCCTCATTCAGTATTGCGGCACAAACTGGTCAGTTTGAGTCCAAACTGGGACTTGGTGTTCTCTGGGCAGTGCAGTAGCAAAGACCATTTCTTTTCTTGCAGTTTGAAAGGATGTGATGAGAACACTTCTTTTTCTGGGTAGTAATGTCAGGCACAAAACTTCTTACGTAAAGGAGTGAGGGGGGACAACAACCCTAAATGTTGTGTCTAATTAGCAGAGCATGGTCTTGCCAGTTGTTAAACAGTGGCCTGAGAACAAAGTGGGTGGTTTTAGTCCAAGGTCAGCACAAAGATGTGGAAAATTTTCTCTTTCCTTTTGGTTGCTGGAAAAGTTGTGTTGGAAACACGAGGGAGAAAGCAGGGGTAATGGTACTTTAACACTTGCACTGCCAGTCCTTTCAGCTTCCTTGTTAATAAAGCTGATGTTATATGATAGTCTGGGGTAGTGGTTTGAGAACTTCCTTATGCCAGGGGTCCATTGTGTAAGGTGCTAAATGACCAGGTGATTCAGGAAAGCATCTGCCCAAAGATGGTATATATGTAATTTGGAAAGGAGCATCTTCTCCTCTATAGAGATAGCAGAAATGTGAGAGGAAGGTCATTCAGCACTCTCTGGGAGGGCAGAAGGGATATGGTGAGCCCATTAACATATGATGGTGTTTGTTACCCTGAGGTGGCTAAAAATGCTCTCTCAATTGCACTGACACTCCCATGTGTGTAGATGGCAGCTGTACCACACGCAAAGGCAGCTGAGCATGGGGCTGGAGGGCTGAGCTTGGGCCAGAGCTGCCCTTGGCTCACTCCGTGGCTTTGGGGGAATCACTTGTTAGGTGGGATCCAGTTTCAGCAGTGGCTCCTGACAGTTACTTAGAGGCATCCCTCGGGTTGTGGGTGCAAAGCACGAGGATGCTTAACTAGAAGGTGGTTTTCTAAGCATCTTGGAGCATTCTGGAAATCTCTGGCTGCTCAGTGCTTGTAAGAATTGGGGTCAAACCATATTGCTCTTGAAAACGTGCTTTTTAACCCCCTCTCCCAGCTCATCCTTAATTTGCCGATATAGATACCTGAGTATAAGAGGCAATGCACAAAGCGTCTTCATTTTAGCCATTTCCAGTAGGAGAGGAGTTAAAAACCATAATCCCCACCCAGTCAGGGTAGCTCAGCTGGCTGGACCCCCAGTGTGGATGCCGTAACACATTCCCTGTGTTTTACAAGCACAATGGCTTTCTGACCAGCTGTAGCTGTCCCCCAGGGGTGCAGGCAGGGCTGTGACCACAGCAAAGGCTGCCGAGGGGGTAAGTGAAGTGCCCAGTGCCCTGAGCAGCACATCCCCTTCACGTGTACCCCCCGCTCTGAGCAGGCATGCGACAGCAAAGATGAAAGTGGGTCCCACAGCAGCACTGATGTCCCTGGGGGGAGGAATTTGGCAGGAAAGCTGAATGGGTTGCGGGGAGGAAGGGATTGAAATGATTTATTTCCCTGGGAACTTGTTTGCTCCACTCAACATGAAGTTGAGAGGCTGGGCTCAGATCTAGACCACACAGATTTGTGAGTCTCTACTGGATAAACCCTGGAGATGGAGGTTGAATTGTTCTCACACCCCAGATGACAGTCTCTGGAGGAGCTGAAGAAGTTTGATTTCCCTGCTCCTTCCTGCAGGCTACTTCTTTGCTGCAAGTCCCTTCAATAGGTACAGGCAACCTGGGCTGTTGGGAGCTCAGTGCATTGATTTTCCTCCTGCCTTTGGGAAAGAGGAGCTGCTCTCCTCTTGCTGTGAAAGCCAAGGCTGCAGTTATCTCCAGTGCCATGGCTGGAGGACAGCGGCAGAACTGGTTGTTCTGTTACACCAAGCGTTCATCGTCCAAACCTGAACAATAGCTGTAACTGTACGTGCCACACCAGTGCGGGTCAGGGCCAAAGATTCTCAACGCCCCCGTGATGAGTTCATCCGGAGAGTCCCCACATTGCAAAGGCAATGTTCTGCTGGGGCTTGTTCCCTGCTGGGAAATCTTGCAGAAACCCAGAATTAAAGGTGCCGTTGTTGCCTTGGCCAGGTACCCACCTTGGCACTGCTTCACCCTACTGCTGCTGGTAGGAAAGAGGTGAGGTGGGGAGGGAAAGGCTCCCTCCGAGTAGGAAAAACTTCAGTAGCTCTTTCCGTGTGAGAAGCACGACGTATTTATGGTGTGATGAGCTTCGGTTCTTGCTCCACCTGAGGTTGCGTAGCCAGGGCTGGGGGGAGCCAGGCAAGGCTTTGAGACAGCGAGGTGAAGCAGGGCTGGGGAAGAGACGAGACTGACTTCTTGAAAATACAGCCGTTCGTTGGCTCGCTGGCTATTTCAGCACTGGCAAACCCGGACCATTCCTGTCTTTTCCAGTGCACTCCCCTCAGTACCAACAAATGTGCTGAGCAGTAAATCTCTCACGAGAAGGAGAGCTGGGTGTCTGAAGGCTAATGATTAAATAGGCAGATCAGAAGGATTAATCAGTTGCTCAGTATGCTCTCATTTTACAAAAATTGCCTCCAACCTGGGAAGTACTGCACTGTTTTTAATCTCCTCTCTGTAGAGGAGAGTACAGAACGTGGCTATCCCTGTTTGCTTTTTCCAGACTGAACGCTGATTGTACAAAGCGAGTTAAATCAAATCTGCAGCTGAAGAATATGCCAGGGTCAGCTGCTAGTTTTAGTCTGCTCATCCTTGGGCCTTTCACAGTACAGGAGCTCAGAGCAGAAGAGCTCAGCTGGACTAGACGTAGGTGGGAGTGTGGGTTATTCCAGCGGTGCCAGTGTCTGAGGGGGAATTCTCCCCATTAAGGCTGTCAGAAAATAATGATTCTGTAGTAATTGCACAGATATTTTTGGAATCTCTTTCTTCCCAAACGTACTTTGTGTCGTGCTCTTGTGGTGGGTTTTCAGTCAACAAATGCATCCAGCAAAATCTTCTGTCTTGGTGAGGGAAACGCATCCCAAATTGCAGCTCTTTTTTCAGCTGTCCAGAAGCACACTGAATTGCACATCTTTTTCTCTTCTGGAGGTGGAAGAGAAGGCAGGGAATAAGTGTTGGGCTGTATGAGCTAGTCTGCAGAAAAACTCAGTGTGGGCACTGCTTAGTCTTTGTAGAAAAGAGAAAGGCTCCCTTCTTCTCGGAGCAAGAGGAGTTTTGGAAGAAGCCAAGCTTATGAGCCATGTAACAGGAATAGCTCAGGAAGCAAGAAAGAGAGAGATGATCTTAGCAGCTTGGCATAGCTTCTGCTTGCTGGTCCCCAGCCACCAGTACCCATCCAGTTCTCTACGGAGGACATTAAAGGTGATTGCTGTAGGTGGATGCCAAAAGGCAATAATTGCTCTTCATACAGAGAAGGAGGCACTGTTCCAATTCATCTGCTTAGCCCCTGTAGCAGCATGGTCTGACACCAGGACAGGGGATGGCTGACTCCCACAGAGCGTGCAAGTGCCCCTGAAGCCGGATGAGTTGATACCTGTAATCAGTGTTGATCTGTGCCATAACAGGGTATAGGGAGATTTTGTTATTGAAGGTGGAGGTAACTGTGACTGGTTTCCAGGGTGGTTTTGGAGATGGGCTACAATCCATGTCAGAAGCTCTGTATATAAAGTGCCAAAACCATTGACCCAGGCAGAATAGAAGGTCAGCTGCAGCTGATCGTAATGGGCTCCCTCTGGCTCGAACAATTTGACTTTCATTTCTGTTCCACATGCCGTTGGGTTCAGGAATGAATAATTTGTTCTCGAGGGTATCAGTTCCTCAGAAACAAGTGAGGGAAGGCAGCAGAGAAAATTTGGGACTGCTCACCCTAAGTAATGCATGGAGATAATGGCTGTGAGGTATTTGTTTAACAAAACAAAACTCCTTGGAGATTTGCCTCCTTTCTTGGTAAAGGACAGAAACCCCCAGCTCTTGTTTGAGGCAGCTGTGGATGTGGGCTGTGACCTGGCAGCTGTTTGTCCTTGCCAGAGTGGGATTGCGAAAACCCTTACCTCTTTACAGGTGTGTTACTCTGCTGCAGGCTTTTGGGTGGGATTGAACCTGGGACTACACCCCTGTGCTCAGCTAGCACAAGTACGAGACCTTTGACTTGGTTCTTTTTGCTGGAGCCTTCTCTTTGACCCTGACTTCTCGGTTCACCCCACTGATGCCACAGGTGTGTGACTCTCTCTTTATTTATCTCTGTCAGGAGGTGAAGATATTCCGTGCCTTAATCCTAGGGGAGCTGGAGAGGGGCCAGAGCCAGTTCCAGGCGCTCTGCTTCGTCACACGGCTTCACCGCAACGAGATCATCCCCAGTGAGTCTATGGCAAAGCTGCGGCAGGTAAGGGGCACCCTGCACCTGGCTTCAGTGCTATAAGAAATCATGAGTTGCAACCAGGATTTGAGTCTTCATTATTTCACCCTCTGCAGAAAAATCCCAGGACAGTGCGGCAGGCCGAGGAGGTGCGGGGCCTGGAGCACCTCAGCATGGATGTGGCTGTCAACTTCAGCAAGGGGGCCCAGCTGAGCTCTCACATCCACAATGTCTGTGCAGAGGCCAAAGAAGCCATTTACACCCGAGAAGATGATGTCAAATTCTGGCTGGAGAAAGGTGAGTTTCCTTTGGTTTCATGGGAACTGCTCCTGTCAGCAAGTTGGCACTCTGCTGTGATTGCTCCTGGTAGGTTTCTGGTGATCAGAACAGATCATTTTGGCTTCTCTTTCACTGTCTTTATGGTGATTAAGGCACGTGTATCACTTGCTTACACATGACATTGCACTAGTCTATTTGTTAGCATATCTGACTTCTTTTGATGGCGCTTTCCTAGTGAGCCTCATATTAGGCAGGTATTTTCAAGGTAACCTTTCACCTGGGCCATCACCCAAAAGAAATATGTTCTTTACACACTGTGTACCTTTTGGCTACTTTCCCTGGTGCCCTGAACGATGTCTCTGCTTTCTCCCACAGGGGTGGATGGCTCCATGTTCGAGGTCCTGCCACAGACATCTGATCTCCCTGACCTGCAGCGCTGCAAGCTGTGTGCAGACCGCTGGAAACCCTGCATTTGCAGCTACTCACTGAGCATCGAGTGGTACCCGTGCATGCTGAAGTACTGCAAGAGTCGTGATGCTGGGGGCAAGGTTTCCTCTTACAAATGTGGCATCCGCAGCTGCCAGAAGGGCTACACCTTTGATTACTATGTGCCGCAGAAGCAGCTATGTCTCTGGGATGAGGAGACCTAGAAAAGCCAGGCCAGACCTTTTCAAGGGGCAGCTCACCTGCCTCCTGCCACCGTTTATGATGCTAAGGGCCTCCTGGAGCTGCTCCAAAGAAAGAATACGGTTCACAATGATGCCTTGTACCAGGAGAGCGCTGTGTGTGTGCCTTTTCTTCTGGCCTCCTGTGACTCCCTCCCCACCTGATGCTGCCTCATACTGTGATGAGCAGGCTCAGTGCACTGTGTTGATGCTCTCCTGCCAGCTGCTGGGGGGGTCTGGCTTCCTGGAAGAAGCAGGAGATGCAGCTTTCTGGGGTGAAGCACTGGGAGGGCTGTGTTTTGCCGTGCTCTGGAGCTGGCAGATGTGAAGGGGGGCAGCTCTGATCACTTGTTAGCCTCGAGCATCCTGATGAGTGGTCAGGGCAAAGAGAGGAATGGTCTTGATGACCTGGGTTGACAAACATCTCTGCCACTGAAGAATCCCCTTCACTGACTTCACGACAGCATCTCCCAAAGGGAAAACAGCTGATTTATGGGACCACATGCCCTGAACAAGGAAAGTATGAAGCCTGCCCAAAGCAAGAGCCTGCCTGTAGCTTTTTCTCATGTCCAACTGGATGTTATATCCTTCCTGTGGCTAGAAGATACAGTGGGGGCATATATCCCAGCGATTACTTTTGCCCCTAAAGGGCTAGTAATTAAGGCTCTTATTAATCCCTGTTTAAACTAGTGAAGGCCCAACTGTTTTGAGTTCGTCCTGTGACTCTCCCGCTAAGAAAGAAACATCTGGAGACTTGTAACTCTCGCCATAACATTGTGGTTGCAAGGGGGGAGGATGATCCCAGGTGGGTTTGCACTGTCATTTTGTAGAAAACATTCTACATCCATGTCCAGTTTTATGTCCTACTCTGCCAGCTATTCACAAGAAGCTCTTAGATAACTGTACTGCTTTGCTGTGCCTTGGTTTCCCCTGTATGTAAAAGAGGGACAACAGTGAAGATGGCCTTGGCCCTGCTATACACCTGGAGAGCATCAGACAAAAAGCACGGAGGAGTGCTGCCTGGTTCCTCTGTCCTCTTCCACTCAAGCAAGGAGGGGAGAGAGGCTCTTGGGGTCACTGAGAACCCCTGTGCCTCCTGGTAAAAAGCCTTCACAATGTGCCTTTTTGCCTAAAATACAGAAATTTTTGACAAAAAGAAAAAAAAAATTGGTCATAATTATTTTTGTATTGATCTCTTAAGGGAGGAGAAGGGAAAGGTATTTTAATATTGCAACATGAAGAAATAGACACTTGAAATGATTTTTTTTTAAAACAAATTATTTATCATTTGTAAGGTAAAATAAACTGGTGGGTTTTTTTTAACCAACCCTTGCCTAGAAGTTTCTCTGTGTGTCATTATCTGTGTGTGATCCAGTTGTTTGGGCTCTTGATTGAGAGTTGTTCACTGGTGGGTAAGCGTGAAGCCTGCTTCTAGGACATGGAAGACCCATGCATGGGGAGGGGGACACGATCCTGCAGTTCAGCATGGCCACCGTGACCGGTTTAACTAAAGTATTATTTGTCTGTTCCTCTGCAGCTACAGCTGAGAGGAGATGAGGGTGGCAGTTTTGGGCCAGCACAGAGCTGTTAGCTCAGTGGCTGCTGGAGGGAGAAATGTGGAGTGCTGATTCCCCCTAGTGTGGTGAATGCAGAGATGGGACAAGGGCTTTGCAACCTTGGTCCTTCTCCACATGAGCCACTGCAGCAACTTACCCCTTACTGTGATTTCTGGGGAAGCTGAAATTGCTGCTTTTTTTCACTTACGTGGTAAACAAGTCCCTCTCGAGATGTCAACCACAGAAGAAGGAGCAGGAAGGAGAGAGAGAGAAGGAAGAGGGCTATCCCCCGCAAACTCCCTGGTTTATAGTGTGTGTGGCATAGAATGAATCTGTTAGCCAGCTTGGGTCATCTGCCCTGGCTTTTGCTCTTCCTAACGTCTGCACCTGGTTAACTCAAGGCTGTCAGAGACCGTGATCGCTCTGGTAACCTGCATACCAGGACCAGCTGAAAACTACAGGCAAGATTTTATCAACTTTGTTACCATGAAATAGAGTGTTGTAGTCCTCAACGAAGATCACAGTTTTCCTCAACAGAACACTGACTCTAAATTTCTCTCTCAATAAATCAGACCACCCAGCGAGCTTGAATGTGCTTATTTTGTAGCGGCGAGGCTCTGGGCTGCAGGTAAGCGAAGGACATGAGCTCTGAATGTCCACAGGCAGTACGCACTGAGCTCAACCCGATAGTTATTTCTGGGCTGGGTGCCCTCTCTGGCGGTGCAGCTTTCCCGGCCTCCACAAGTGGGTGCTGGCGGAGCGCGGCTCTGCCCGTGGAGGTTGGGGGGTGCCCGGGAAGGGGATGGCGGCAGAGCCGCATCCCAGGTGCGTGCGGTCCATGCCCCGACTTACAGCTGCGCATCGCGGTCCCTGCAAGATCTCGCTATCTTAGAGAGAGCTCTCTCGCTATCTCTAGCCTTGCTAGAAGGGAAACGGGGGGATTTTGTAACATCTTGCTGCAGGTTGTGCTTTCAGGGTAGCCTAATAAAGGAGGGTGTATTCTCTCTTGCTTGCATGGCACATCACTGACACCAAGGGTGCCCAGGTGAAGGGCTTTGCTCCTACAGCTGTTTGGGGAGAAAAGCGCAGAAATATTTAATTTTTTCCCGCTGCTTACAAAATAACAGAAAAAGCAGCAGCCACCAGCTGCAGAGCAGGACTGGTGGGAGGAGGATGCCGGTTGCATTCGGCAGCGGCTGCAGGGCCAGGAGAGGGCACTTTTGCCGACGGCTAGGGCTGCATCCTTGGCCGGAGTGGACCCGGCATCCCGTCCCGCTTGAGGTACCCTGCGGCTCCGGATGGGGCGCTCGGCTCTGGAGCAAGGGAAAAGCACATGGAAAAGATGGGTGTCAAGTGAAACTGCTCGCTGGTGTACAGATAGATGGTGCTCAGATGGGGAAGGAGAGCTCTTGTGGTCCCCAGGCTTTCTCCTGTGTCCCAGAGGCCCTTCAAGCTGGCTGGGAGCCACCAGCAAATCCAAGCGTGACGCAGTGAAGACACCTGATCACGTCAGCCTTCAAGATGGGGAAAACCCAGACGTGGGGGTCACGCTGAAAACACTAGAAAATGGAGCAGCAGCTGCCCAGGAACGCCCTGAGGATCAGGGC